TCATGGAAATAAATTTTTTTTTTTTTTTTTTTTTTTAAGTCTTTGTGTTAATCTGAAGAAATATACATTTGAGACAGCATGAGGGTGAGTAAATGATGAGAGAATTTTCTGGTCTTTAGTATTGTTAGTTCTTTATGCACAAATGGTTTAAAAATAGCATTGACTTAGCAACTTTATCTGACATGTCTGGTGTGTGTGTCAGTATTTGTCTGACCCAGCTTTTGTTTTTGTGCCTTGTACTGTTCTCTGTTTGAGCTAATAAGCTATGTCACCGATGTACTGGAAAACAGATTTTGGTTGGATATACTCCAGCAGCAGGCAGTTTTTCAAAAGACTCCTTTTGCCCTACTAATCTAATCCATCCTGTTTGAAGAACTTAATTTCCACAGGCGCTAAGTGGGGCAGTGGTATGGTCGTGCCAGTGGTATTGACTCTTATTTTTCTCTATATCGTTAAGGACTGGGCTTTAGGAGTGCTGCATGCCAAAATCATTGCTGCCATCACCCTCATGGGTCCCCAGTGGTGGTTGAAGACCGTTATTGAGCAGGTTAGTGGCTGCAGTGACTGTCGTTTGCTCCTGATCTCTGTGCTGCTGTTACGGGTTACGGGCTCTCTAACCGAATGATTTACTGCTTTTCAGGTGTATGCCAATGGAATCAGGAACATTGACCTTCATTTCATCATCAGGAAGCTGGCGGCCCCAGTCATTGCTGTACTGCTGCTTTCTCTCTGCATCCCCTATGTGATTGCTGTAGGCATCGTCCCCCTTCTAGGTAGGTATAAACAATGCTGTGCTAGGCAAAGCTATCAGTTTCTCAGAACATGTTTGTATTAGGCATAGTTGTATTTAGTGTAAATTTAACTTTTATTTATTTGTTATAATTTTGAAAATTATGATGCTGCAATTGTTCAGTCAATCAAAAAACTTACTGTTTTTATGCCAGAAAAATATAGCTCTAGTTTAATTCTAAAATATAAAATTAAATAATTACATATATATATTTTCAACAGTTTAACTAAACTATATGAATTATAAATGTGAGGTTTTCAGAGAGGTTTAT